TAAGGAGAAGCCTTGGGGATGGTCTCTAGCCTATGGCACACTTGGACCCTGCATGTAGCCGTGTCATTGCTCAGCAGCCTGCCATGCTCTGCTGACCTTGGGACTTACAATGGACTTAATTAATAGCCTGCCGGTGGTTTGGTAACATCGGGACTGTGCCTTTTTACTTGTCAACCTCGGGGCTTCTCAGCCTAGCAGCCAGCGGCTGTCTGAGTGAAGAAACGCCTCTAGCTCCAGTGGGCTGGGAGCAGGAAGCAGAGCTGGACCCCAAGGTTGCGGGGCTTTCACCCAGCCCCTAGAGCCTGGCACTTTGAACTTGGACTTAAAGCCTCCCAACTCTAAGAATAAACTCCTGCTTGTGAAGGCCATCCCATCCGTGGTGTATTCCTGTCAGAGTGGCACCAGGAACCAGAACAGTGGCAGAAGCAGGACCCGAAGTGAAGCAGGGGCCCTTGAATCGGAGCTTTACTGTACCACTGGTTTATGAAAGGAGAAAGTATGAAAGTTTTTGTTTTGTTTTACTTTTGCCAAAAAACTCAAATATATACATTTTTTTTCAGCTTAGAAAGGAAAAAAACAACAACAAAAATGGGCAAGGAACAAACTAGAACAAAAGATAATTCAGTAGCACTTTGCTGAGAGAATGTCCCAGATTACAGTTCTAAACTGAAAATAAGCATACTGTTGAAGACTAAATTCCTTAAGAATTCATACAAGTGTATTCTTCAATCACCCAATACTACTTCTACTTACCAACTAGAATTTACAAATCAAGGGTTTGCTGAGAAACCTAGTAAAGCTCATGTGTAGGATTTGGAAAAAGAGAAGCACACATTTCTTGCTTTGAAAGATTTGGGGACTATTTTCTTCCTCTTGGTGTTTCTAAAACTACCTTCAATGACCAGAGTAGAAGAGTGAAAAGACCAAGGATGAAGGAAAGAGTATAATCTTTATAACTGAAAATCCTGGTACCTTCTGTCCTTAGGATGAATGAGGAACGACAGTGACATACAAGCTGCAGGACCTGTATTAACGCTATGGGAAGCACAAACCCCAGTGAAAGGGTTAAAACAGTCATTACAAATGAGGGTGAAATGAGATGCTATCACACTGTGGGAGAAAAATCAGTCTTGTGGATATCTCATCAATAGCTTCAAACAATCAAAAAAACACAAAAAAGTGAATGTTTACAACCTGAAAGTGACTGAGAATAATGACTGATGAATAATGACACTGTAGGTTTGACTGGGCCACATGGCTCAGAACAATAAATCATACAACCAGAAGACTGACGAGCATATCTCAAAGACGACCCTGTGATGATGTACCATGAACTGCCACAGACATGCAGATGCCTTTAGAGGGGGGGGGGGGGCCCTTGAATGCTCACCTCACACAGACCCAGTGACCACAGCTGCCTTGTGTGACACTGCCAGCAACCCTCCCCTCCAACAAATAGCTGCTGATTAGGAAACACTGCTACTCAACACAGAGGAAACAACGTAATAGGTTAGCTATACACACTCATTTTTAACAACAAAAGAAACCATGTCATTTATTACCTGCTCCATGTTGTACCCATGCTTCTCTTTAGCAATGGCAATGTATTCGTCCACTGAAAAACAAGATGGAGACCAGTAAACAGACTGAGGAAGCGAGCAGCCAAGGTCTGCTGGAACCGACACGGAGGTACATACATTTACACACACATATGTATTTTAAGCCTGCATGCACCAGACAAGGACAGAGACTAGCAGGTAACAAAAGAATATTGTACAGAGGGATCTCATCATGGATCTTACAACCATCCCAGAGAAATGGCTGGAAGACTATGCTAAAATATGAACAACAATCACCTCTGAGTGGCAAAACATAATTATTTTCTTTCTTTTTTTAAAAAGTGGATCTACTTCAATTTTCTACAGCAAACAAGTATTACTCTGGTACTATGAAGAATAACTACTTAGAAATTAAAAGACATATGAAGTTGGGGTTCGGCTGAGACTGAAGAACAAGCAATCTATTTTTAATGTATAAAACTTAGCGATGAATTCCAAATTTTATATAAGCTTTCCACCAACACTCAGCTCACTAGCATCAACCTTGAACAAAACACTCCGTTGCTCCATCTGTAAACTGAGGCCACCATCGACCCTACAGTTGGTGCCTTAAACCAGAGGCTAAAAAGGACCTTGTATGGTAATGGGAAAAAAGGGTCTCACAACTGGGTGTTAGATGTTCTGAAGGAATTATTTCTAATTTGTTAGATGTGTAAAGAGCATGATATTTTTTCAGTTACCATACTACAGTGTTTATAGAGACATGACACAATGTTTGGTATTTGGTTTAAAATACTCTAAGGAAGAAGAGCAGGGGGAAAGATTTGTGAAATAAAATTGGCAAAATGCTAATAATTTAATTAGAGTCGAGTAGGGTATTTTCTTTCTTTTTTTTTTTTTTTTAATTTAATTAGAGTCGAGTAGGGTATTTTCTTCCTTTTTTTTTTTTTTTGAGGGCATGGATACCTAACAGTTTATACTGTTCATTGTACTTTTGTGTATGATTTTCAACTTCCATAATAAAAAATTAACAAATAAAGGCAATGGCTCTTAAAAAAAAAAAAAAAAAAAGCCTAGCAGAGCAGGTGAAGGCTCAAGAGTGTAGCTGCTACCACACACAAGAACCCTCCAAGAACTTCTGGGTTAGGGGGTACTGGGGGCACTACTGCAGACAGTATGGGCAAGTGGCCCAAGTTACAAGGTTTTAGTTCAACGCTGGCAGAACTATCCATCAATTTACTTGAACACTTATTTCCATTTACAATCAATACTCTAGGTGAGGTACTGGGGTTAAAGAAGAGGGGAAACATGGTCCAGCCCTGAAAGTCTAGTGGGACTAGACACAAGTACACAATTTAACAGGAGATGGCAGGTGCCAGCTGTCAAGCACTAAGGAAATACCACGAAAACAGACTCAGGCCCACAAGGCTGAGTCTACATCCTCCCTAAGAATTTTCTGGTCTTTCTTCCTAGGCATACCTGCTGGTGGCACTATGGTCATACAGCTGGCTACTGTAGTAGAGCTTCAATTCTAAAAGCACTTGGGCTGCAGAAGGCTGTCATCTACTGTGGGAGCCCTAACTTCATTTTGAATCCTGACTTAAGTTCAGAAGCCATTTGGGTTCTTTCTGATCTTTACAGCAAGCAACCTTGTAGCCATATGTAGATAAGTTTCAGAACAAACCTGGGGAGGGCAGTTTGCACTCAGGAAGAGTGTGAGTGAAAGTAGATTATGCTCACCCAAAGAACCAGGGATCCTGCCAGAGTGTCGACTTTTCTAATTTAAATTAAGGTTGGGGTCCTGGTATTGTTTGGTAGCCACCTTGCAGCTAAGACTCAGGCTGCATGGTCATGAGTCATATTGGGACTACCACCTACCCAGGTAGTCAAGGCTCAGAACCAATCCTGTAACCCTTTTCTATCTTCAATTGTGTACATCTCCCAATTATGGTACCTCCCCAATCTGTAGTCCTGCCTGCAACAATGAAGAACTGATTTGCCACCAATCCTGATTCTGTGATGATTCCCTCTGTTTCCAATCATACATAATTAGGCCCATGGCTGTGACTCAGCAGACCCCACTTAGTTATGTATATGTTGTGTACATGCTGATGGTATTCCTGGATGACTGTCTTTATCTTTGTTCTGCCCAACACTTAATGAAAGTGTCTCTACTGAACCTGTTTGAATCTGGGGTCTCTTTTCCCTATTACACTACTAACCAAAAGGTTGTGGGTTCCAAACCTACCCAGTTCTCAGGTAGAAAGACCAGGTGATCTGCTCCTTTAAGGAAAACCCTGTGTGTCAGTTCTCTGTCACACAGAGTCACAACTCACAATAGTCAACAGCACTGCCTCACATTCACGTAGGATTTCTCTTTACAAAAACTGTAAGTAAATTCCTCACTACTCCTTATTCCCTCCCTCCACTCAATCTCCCTGTCCAGGTGACCAGTAGCAGTTTCAGGTTGTCCTTCCAGACCTTGTCTGATTTATTTTTTAAATAGAAATGAGGTTTTACTGAACTTGCTGTTTGTGACTTGTTTTTACTGACAATATGTGATATCTTTCCACATCTATGGAACCTATTTACCTTATATTAATTAGTCCCTTATTCACAGACATTAAGCTGTCTCGTGTTTCCTCTTATACACTGCCATGAATGTTCTTATACATCTATCTCCATGAAAGTGCAGATGTCTAATTGATTTGCTGATCCATATTGTCAGTCATGGTCTCACCCAGAACCTACAACTCCCACAAGGGAGGGAGAAGTACAACCACCAAACACACCATTGAGTAATTAGGCTCACAGTAGTTCACTTACCTATTGTTATACAGACAATACATAACGAAAAACTAGTGCCACTGAGTCAATTCCGACTCACAGCTATCCCACGTGCTGCACGGCAGAACTGCGCCGTAGTTTTTATGGCTATTGGAAGCAGCACCAGGCCTACCTTCTAAGGCGACTCTGGATAGGTTTGAACATCCAACCTTTCTGTTAGCAAGTGGAAGGCTTAACCATTTACGTCACCCAGGGAACTCCCTCACAATAATAGAAGAGACTTAATAAATTAAGAGTCAGATCTTCAAAATCCCATTATGTTATTTAATTATACCCTAGCTATCAGAACAAGAGGATATTGTTTAAAATCAAGAAGGGAGTGTGTCAAGGTTGTATCCTTTCACCATGCTTATTCAATCTGTATAATGAACAAATAATCTAAGAAGCTGGACTGTATGAAGAATAACATGGCATCAGGATTGGAGGAGGCTCATTAACAACCTGAGACACACAGACAACACAACTTTGCTTGCTGAAAGTGAAGATGACTTGCAGCACTTCCTGATGAACATTAATGACTACAATCTGCAGTATGGACCTCAATATAAAGAAAAAAAAAAAAA